ATCTGTCCAATTTTTCTATATCTCCATGTTTCTCCCAATTTTTAAAGTTAGATTTTCCAATAAAGTCAATTTGGTGTGGGAAAAATGCCATATCTTTTTAAAAATTAGATAATATATTCCATAACTTTCTAACTGATATAACTGTTTCCAGAGATACCAGAGTTTTAATACAGTATATTTATCCTAATACTGTCCATCCAACCAAAGGTGTTATATATGTATATTCCAAAGTTTACCAAATCCAAAAATTGTACAAACACCAATTGTAGGCTTTAATATTTGTATTGAATATTTTGAATAGTAAAATATTTAATATTAAATTAATATTTAATATTTGGCAATAGGTAAGCATGATGCTATACCTCCAGTTCTGGAAAGCCAGATGCTCCATCATTAATTGGTAATTGCATTTTCTGTAAATTTATTCTCAGAATCAAAGAACCTCATAGAAATGTTTTAAACAAAGAATTTATTTTCTAAAAATATTATCCACATGTAAAACTGCAATTCCTCTCAAAGTATAAATTAATCTGAGAATAATATTCATATTGAAAGCATTCATCTTTCCCCAAAGAGTAAAGTTTAATCACTTCCATATTGATACCTGAAGAGATCTCTATATTTTGTTTATATTACATGTTACTGAGTTACATCCTTTGTTATATACAGTACATACTGTACCTACCATAAATATTTAATGGATTTGGTATAAATATGGAATCAATATTGTTTTAATGGCTTGGTTAGCCAATTTCCACCTTTCTATCTTATAATAATGACTTTATATTCTCTTATTTTGTTCCTGTTACAGTTTCCATTATTCACAGTGGATCACAACCTTATTCCATATGTTAATTATTTTTATGTTTTAGGGCATATTTCTATTTCCTATGATAGATTGAATATAATTCCTTGTTCAGAAAACATATTTAATTTCTTTGTTACAGCATTGTACAATGTGTTATATATTCTTGGTATTTTTATATTTGATACTGAAGGCTTATAATATGACATAGTATCACTTTATGTTTTAAAAACTTCCAATAAATTTCCAATGTATCTAGCATATTTAGGCCTATATTCTAAGGCAAAAATTTTCCTATGTCTGTCTGATTTTTTTTCCTATTCTATTTAGATTAAGTATAGATCAAATTAACTGTGTAGAATTGTTTCTCTTCCTTTCTTAATATTACTTTTCAGGTCGTAATAATCGTGGCCCCTAATGTGTTGAATATTTATGGATGACTAGAGATGGCATTACTTTGGCTTAAACTTTTCTTTTTAGAGCAATTAATCTCTTGATAGAATTTTTTTTCATTTTACTTGCTGTTAAATCAATGCACTGGGAAGACTTAACAGTTACTTACATTAGATTTCTGCAACCTGCAAAAAAAATATGTAAAAATAACAGAGGAGAAATGACTGGAGACCATTGCTAGAGTGATAAAATGTCCATTAATCAGCTATAGTTAATTTCTGTGATTTGCTTATTGAAAAAGATCTGTTTGACCAAAACTATTTACAGTGTTATTTTAAACCAAACAAGGAAAGTGTTTAAGACCTGCTGATTTCCTGATGAAACTTCTAGTATTTCCTTAGGTTGATTCCTGCTGGAAGAGTTTTCTGTGTGAATTATATGCTCTAATTTTACAGTATATACAGTATTAACCAGTAAAAATGCAAAGAAAGCCATGCTTTAAAGCTTGTGGGAGAGTGTTGCACATTACAATCAACTCTTTTTGAAGATTCATTTAGTGTTTGATTGTATTCTTTCAGAGTGAGGGCTGGAATTACTTTTGAAATGCATTATTTATGTGAGTAGGTGGAAGGGGAGAAGTTACTGAATTGTGATTTCTGTTAAAATACACTGTTGTGAATTGGTGCATGTATTATTTATATTGATGCAGTAGGTCTTTACTGTGTAACAGAGCCATGAAATAAGCATAACAGCCTATGGGGAGAACAAGGGACAAGATTACCCCTTCCTCAGAAGGGAAGGAACCGGGAGTTTTAACAAACCTAAAACTGGAAATTTGACATCTGGCAGTTGAATAATTTATTTTTACAAGTTAGCCTATGAAAATAGATTCTAGTAACAGAAATTCAGTAAAGAAGATTTGTTATGTTTCCATTCATTTTCTTTAAATGACAGCCATTTGAATTTGCTTTCATCGTATGACAGAAGTGGCAGGTATAATAGGCAACAGAACTTGTTTAATTTCTAAGCGGACAAGTGGTAGACATCAATTTGACCTTCACATCTAAAATGTATGATTATTTTTCTTGCCCACTGTACAGTTCACGCACATTCAAGATATAAAAAATGTTATGGCCATAAAGAACAATGGAATATTGAATATTTCATTTCCCCTCAAATTTGGAGTGTTGGTTTTGATGTTCACCCCCATTTCCCTGACAGCATTTCTGCCTGAATAGATTCTGTGAATATAATCACTACAGACCTTCCTTGCAGCTTCTCCATTTTTTCCATTTTTGATACTGTAATTTCAATAATCTCTGTTTTATGTATAATTTCACATACAGTATCGGAGAATGGATCTAGATCTTTGGTCTTGATTTAATGCGGCTGGTGCCTCACAATTTAAAAGCAAGTCAAAGTGTTATTTCTAGTGTGGTAGCTTGCATTTTAGCCACTCACCCTAGCACATTACTACCACCAATGCTAGTTCGAGTTCTTCTTTGTGGTGGCCATTTCTGACCACTGCTACAACCGCCTTTGGGAAAGGGAGTAATGGCCAGCTGGGGAGGAGAGATGCAGCTCTCCTCAACCCTGCAGACAGTCTCCCCCTTTTTCACCACCTCTATGGGGTGGCTTAGCCCCAAAACCAGCCTGCTCGGGGCACTCCAGCGGTGAGCACGGATCAAAACCGTGCAGAGATGCAGTTTCAGTCTGTCGCCGAAGAAACTCAAACCAGAAGTCCTAAAGGGCAGATAATTCTTATTGCCATGTTGATGGTGTTTCCAACTTCAAATCACTGCTTCTCTACACAGACATAATGCTCCTTTGGTTACAGAGTGTGAGGTCTATGGCTTCTTGGCATTATTCAGATCAGTAAGTTCAACTGAAACTGAGTGGCAGATCAGAGGTTAGCACAGATTTCAGTTTGATCTTGCATTGAACTAGGTAATGGTTAGACATGACTATACTTCAGCAAAACCCTGACATCATTAATAGCAGACTTAAAGTAGCTTCCTGTTAGGAAATAAATGATCATAGAAGCAACATTTAGTGCTTATGACTACCAAGTTAATTGATGATCAGGCCAGTCCCTGAATAGGTTATTGCAAATGAATATTGAATTTAATTGTACCAATTATTATTCATGCTACCAGACATCTTCCCAGCCAAGCTGCAATTTACCAATCTGTGCATTTAGATCACCTGCTAACTTGAAGAGTCCTCTTTATGGCCTTCATTTATAATGATGTATAATTCAATGTAAAAGGTTTTTTTTGTCATCACTATTCACCTCTGTTGATGCATAGGCTACAAAGATAGTAATCGATGCAATTCCATTGAGAATGAAATCTTTATAGCCTATGCATCAACAGAGGTGAATAATGATGACAAAATTTGAAACTGCTTCAAACCTGATGTTACCAATTGGTTGTACCTACTGTTAACTATGAATTCTACTCTACAAGCAGACATTCACCACAGAATAATAACCAGTGCGTGTATTGAGAACTATTTATGCTGCAAAGAATCTTTTCACCAGATCCAAACATAATTTAGTAAAAAACAGCTAGCTAAGAGTTATATATGAGCAATGATGGTGCAGTGGTTAGAATGCAGCATTGCAGGCTTATTCTGCTGACTGCTGATTGCCAACAGTTCAGAAGTTTAATTCTCATTGGCTCAAGGTTGATTCAGCCTTCCATCTTTCTGAGGTCAGTAAAATGAGGACCCAGATTATTGGGAGCAATTTGCTGACTTTGTAAACCATTTAGAGACTGTGAAGCAGTATATAAGTGCTATTGCTATTTCAACCATTTGTACAGTCTTGCATACACTTTGTGTGAATAACTCCTGGTTTCGCTAAAGGGTAGTGTAGCAGGTCTCTGAAGCTTCAATGTAGGACCACAAAATACTAATATAAGGTTTTGCCAGTTACTGCTGGCAATTTGTCACTGTGCTAGCTGGGAATATTGAAAATAGCAGAACATTGGTCTGGATAAACTAGAATGGAGTTGTGTTAATATGTAAATATTGATGATTACTTCTTCATCATATACTGGTAACAAAGCCACTAATATAAACCAATACTCTTGCCTTTTCACCAAAGACAATTTTGTATGTTAGATTTGAGCAAATACACTAGGCACCACAATTTCATTGACTTCAAAGAAATTTGGATATTTGGGTAGATCACATTCATTATGTAGTTCTCTAAACAGAAATTTAAGGGTTGTTTAAGAATTTTTATTAACTATTTTGATATATCTTGTATTAAGAATTTTTAAATTAAATTAAGCAGTTGCTTGTTTCAGTAGGTGCAGGAATGTTTATTGCAATAAAAATGATTGGGTTTTTTTCCAATTTTTATGCTCCTATTGAAATGTTACACTTTCGGTTAGTTGTAGACTCTAGCATATATTTCATTGACTAAACGTGAAGCATGCTTAAAGTACTTTATAAAATTGTAAGAATGAAATAGAGGCATAATACTGAGAATATAATTTGTGCAAAGTTTATTTCTGTTATTTTAAATAAAACCTGATGCTAATGTCTGCACAACAGTGTTTTCAGCAACTGTAATTGTTTCATTCATTTTTATTCACAGCATTCACCTGCCATTGTTCAGAAATTAATCTGTTGATGTGTAATATATTGGTGCCTGTGGCTTAAAATTTTAGATATGTTTATGTTTTGACTGAGGTAGCATTATGTAGAAATATTGTTACATTCTTATTTCTGTTGATGCTGGGAGTTACTATAATTAACTCACATTTTTAAAAATATTTTATTTATGTCCAAGTTTGTCCGCTACCTCCTATGGTGACTCATGGAGATTATATCTGCCATCCGCGGCCTTGTGAACATTACAACCATGGAACTGTGGTTGAGTTCTATTGTGATCCTGGCTACACTCTCAGTAATGATTACAAATATATCACCTGCCAGTATGGAAAATGGTTTCCATCATATCAAGTATACTGTATCAAAACAGGTAAGAACTAAGGAATCTGGACATTAAATTTAATATAAACATTAAATTTTCAAATAAAAGTATGTTTTGACTTGAAACTGTCCCCACAATACTTTATTATTTGTAGCATTTACTTTGCTTTCAGAACAGAAGTATCCACGGGTGGTGTCCCAATCCAAACCCTGCTCCCTTTTTTTATGTGGGCAACATCAATAGATATATAAACAATGTGTGGTTTAGCTCCCACGACCATGGCCATCAACTTTCTGTTTCCATCTGTAGATATCACTGCTTTCGTGTGTGATAATTTATTAGATTGGAAATAATTTTGTAAAAGCATAAATAAATGTAAGCAATCATATATGTTACATTTGTAGCTCTGTAACTTAGCTTGTTGTTTGGTTCTGATTCTTCTTGTGTACAATAAAAGGCCATTATTATCTAGTGTGACTAGTTTTCCTATTACTCTTTATTTCACAGAACAAGCCTGGCCAAATAACCAGGAAACTCTTTTGCGAACATGGAAGATTGTGGCATTCACTGCTACTAGTGTTCTTCTAATACTTCTGTTAGTTATTCTTGCCAGAATGTTCCAAACCAAATTTAAGGCACATTTCCTTCCAAGGTTAGTATTAATGTATCCTATTAAAGTAGTAGTGTTGCATTTTTCAGAGTCAGGCAAAATGTTCTCATCAGTTGCATCCAATTATTATTATTTTGGCCTTCCCACTTCCTTTCAGCCCTTTCACTCTTTCTTCATATATTTGTTTTATAATTAAAACTTCATTTTATATTCCCAAGTCATCTAAATATATTTATTTCATTCTGTACTAATCATTCACTTTTGTATTCAGTACATATTTACTTTTGACCATAACTTTTCTCATGTTATATAATTTTAAATAACATTTTCCTCTTATTAGTTTGCTTTTTCATTTCTCTTGACCTAGAAAACATTTATTTTCGTATAACAGAAGTGGACAGAAGCAAGTTGTTTATATACAGACACTTTCATTTCTTTAAGCAAACACCTATTCCATGTGATAGACACCATAGTAACCTTTATTTTATAATCAGATTTTGTGTTTAAAAGTATTATATTCATCTTCTCATTCATCTTCACATTCCAGCAAGATACAAAACTCATGTACTCGTTCTAACTTTTCACAATTTAATGTACAGCTTTCATTTCCCCCATCAAGCACGTCTACCTTGATCAGTTACTTAGCCATTCATTTCTCTTTGATTGGGGGTGGGTGGGGAAGAAGCAAGTGAAACAGGCACTGCAAGAATTCTACAATGGAAAACAGACTGCTTTCATTGGCTGCAAAAGCAAAACTGTACACTTCCGATACAGTAAGTGAATTACAAGTTTCAAAGGTAAACATAGCTTTTCCTTGTTCAACAAGGAGGTAGGCCCATACAAGCATGAAATGTTTTAGTGGGTAAAGCATTCTGCTAGCAAATGCAGATGTCTAGTTTAAAAAAGCTTCACTGACTACACTATTTCATTTTTGAGGCCAAATCTGTTTTGGTTTTTTAAATGTACAGCATATTCCCTAAGCAGGACTCTTCTAGTGGCATTAGGATTGCAACTCCCAGGATCAGTGGTGAAATGCTACTGGTTCGGCCCGAACCCAGTAGTAAAAAAAAGCTCCAACAATCAGCTGAGAGGAGAAAGAAGAGAAAAGCACAAAATCGGCCCTCCCACCTACCTCGGCACTTTTCTGTTCTTTATCCTCTCAGCTGATTGGCACCGCAGAGCCTCAGCTGGTGTTTGGAAAGTTGCATGCATGTTAAATGTATGCAGCACGCACGTGCGAAGTGCGCGATCACCAAAATGGAAGGGAAACTAGTAGAATTCCACCGCTGCCCAGGATCCAGGGAGTTGCAACTTCCTGGATCTAGGAAATTATAGGCCAATCCGCCTGACATCATGGAAAAGATAATAATTAAACAGATGATTGGTGAGTACCTAGAAATGAACAAGGTGATTACAGGAAATGAGTACAAGTTTGTTAAAAACAGTTCATGCCAGGCAAAACCTATATCCATCTTTGATAAAGTGGGCCAGCAAAATGTTATGGACATAGTATTCTTGGACTTCACTAAAGCATTTGACAAGTAGATGACACCTTGCTACTTTCTACAGTTTTCTATCTTAATAAGATGTGTGATAGACAGTACCACCACCAAATGGATTTTCAGTTGGTTGACCGACCATATCCAGTGTATAATCCTTAAATAGAACTACATCTGCATGAAGAGAAGCTTGCAGTGGGGTACCTCAAGGTTCTGTCCTGGGCCCAGTACTGTTCAAAATCTTCATAAATGATCTAGAGAAGATAAAATTATAACTCATCAGATTTGCAGATGACACCAAGTTGGGGGAATAGCTAACACTTTGGAAGATAGATAGACTCAAGATTCAGAAGGGTCTTTACAGACTTGAGCATTGGCCCCTATCCAATAGTAACTGAATTTCAAATGGCTTACATTTTTGTTCTTGAAGAACTCTGTTTCAGCAAAGGATGTTTAGCCATTCACAACATCATTTTTATACGTATACATTCTCTCCCCCCCCTCCCGATCTAGAGATACTCAAGAGAATTGCAACAATGGCCCAGACTTTGTGGTGGTGGATGGTGTTCCTGTCATGCTTCCTTCTTATGATGAAGCTGTGAGTAATGGCATAAATGAGTTGGCATCAGGATGTGCGCCCCCTGCAGGCCAGGGATATGTTTTTCAAGCTGATGATCAGAATCCTCCAGCTTATCCTGGACCAGATGATTTGAACAGGTTGCCAGCTGAATTTGACACCTGTGACAGCATTTCAGGCTCTTCAGAACTTCTACATAGTTTATACACATCTTCTGCATGTCAGATGGGAGCTCATCCTGTCTCAGACAGAACTGATGTTATCAACAGCACCACTGAAGAAGTTGCATCAACCAGCCCAAGCATTGATATTGCTGATGGTAATTTTGAATGTTGAACCTTATGTAGGATTATTTTACGTCAGTTTTTTTTCCATATGGAAAAGCCATGAGATTGTGCTTGGGAGAAGCAAACTATCCTCAGATCTGTGGTCTGTGTTTTTGTTCTAGCTTTTCTCTCTCTTCTCCTCCATTTTTTTTCCTAGCAGAGCTTATTTATAAGCCAAATTTTCACTGCCGACCCAGCAAGCATCTATCTGTCCTTTATTGGCAGGAAATGAATTGGTGGATGATGTGTTTGCTTCATCATACAGTGTTAATTGGAGGACACCAATTAATTATGCCATTCAGAGTCTGAATGTCTGATTGTGTTCCTGAAATACTTTTATTAATATTGTATTCTGTCTATTATAAGGTGCAGTTCTGATTCATCTCAAAAAATTGGGACAAGCAAAGCGAGTATTATTGTTCATAATCAATACTATGGGTCAACCAGATTTATTGTTGTTAATGTTTTTGTCATGACAGAGTTCCTGAATATATGTTGGAGACTCTGTTTGGCTAGTTTTCATAGACAGTTATTTATTCATAGAATCAGTAAATAATTAGTGAACTTAAAATAGTTATCTAGGTGTAGAATATAAAGATATGTGGCTATCTCATGAGCCCATATTCCAAAACCTCCAATGGTTAGGTTCCTATTTGAAGTTTTGAGGGTATATTGTGAGTGCCCCCAATTTTTGAAAAATTTCAAACCCAGAATTTTTTTAAAAAAACTATATTTTGACAATGAAAAAAGTAAAATTTTTATGTTGAGTTCTTGAAAACTCAAGAAACTCCAAAGATAAAAAAAATCAATAATTCAGTATTGAAGCGAAATATTTATTTATTAAATTTACGTGGCACCTGTCTCGGTCTCCAAAGCGACACTATGTGGCTGAATAGCCTTACTGTATATTTTGCATTTGCTGGGGTTTCTTTTCAAGTAGGTTGCCAGTTAATTTTTGTTGCAGTCCATAATTTTCATGTAACAAGGAATTTAGAACAATGATAATTTTAACACTCTGGAATGTAGCAATCTATTTTCTATGTACACATAGGACCTTCAGTGAACCTACTATAAAGCCCATGTTTAGTCTCTTCCCACTGTGTCTGTCCCTCAATTATCTCCAGCCAATGCCAATAGAGATGGAAACAATTGATTGATGATTAATTACAATGCTATCAATAACAAGAGTTGGAAGGCACTTGGTGATCTTTTAGTCCAACTCCCTATTGTACAATGCTATACTTATTGTACAGCATAGGTCATTCTGATTTTTTACAGAATTGGATCAAGTTGTGGTTGATTCTTAACGATCACATAGATTTTCTCCATGATGAGATGGGATCTATACCTGCTGTTTTATTAATTAATATTGTCTTTAAGACTCCATTTCTTGGAGGAGTGTTGGAACACTCATAATAAAATGGAATGTCCAATTTTGCTCCAGCTCAGGATAGAATTTCAGGAGAAAGAGATTTAAAACCCACTTGAATTCAAAATATTTCAAGCTTTAAAACTTTTCAGATTCTTGGTAATCAATCAGATGAATTATTTTCCAGAAAAGGGCTGCATTTTTATAAAAATTGGTGCAATAGGAGTGTAGTGGGTGAGTTTTTTATCCTCCTAAGATACTCAGGGTCATCTTGGGGTTACATGAGCAAATTTACAGAGAAAGCCAGGGCTGAAGTTACCTATATCACTTCCCCCTTGAGGATATTTATAGAATTTAGATGAGGTCCTTGGTGCTGTCTAAACTTAGTTGTTTTCTTGCAGATATTTCATTAACCAACTAGGTAATATCAGTGCTAGGATGGAAAATAGCCCAAGAAAATGGGTGGAAAATTGTATAGCTAATGATTATGGAAGCGTACCCTCAGATTAAATAACAGAGTTGAGGTCTTCTAGTCCAACCCCCTGTACTATTTTAGACAAATCATTGTTCAGTCTCTTCTTAAAAACCTCCAGCATTGGAGCACCAACAACTTCTGGAAGCAAAATTGTTCCACTGATTAGCAAATAAGAGCACATCACAGAAAACCTCAAGGCAAAAACCTAGCACTGATGTTACCTAGTTGGGCAATGAAATATCTGCCAACAAAGTTCAGGGAGCACCATGCACCTCATCTAAATTCCATAAGTATCCTCAAGGGGAAAGTGACCAACCCATAGTTCAATGCTGAGCTACAAATATTCCCTTCTATTGGATTTAGGTGACTAAAGAAAGTTCTGGTACTTGGTTTTATAACTTTTAAATTTGTTTGAAGTGAAGCAGGATGAAAAAAAAGTCATGCTGATATCCTAGTTACATCCAGATTATTCTTTTTTTAAAAAAAATCATAACATTCAAGTTATCCAATTAATATTTTAAGATCCTATAAAAATCATGTTTTTTGCAGAATATGGATTTTCTTAATACCAGTATGTACATTTCAATGGGCTGAATATAATTTGGGCTGTAGTCTAACAGCATCTTCTACAATATCAAAGAAAGTAGAAAATTAAATGTTTGTAATACATTATAAGTGAAACAGGAAATTACACAAAACCTATCATTCCAGGAATTGAGTGTTCTCAGGGATAGTCTGTTTTTCTAAATTGAGCTTCTCCAGCCATTTCCAGGAATAGTCTGGAAATTTGGGGAAGCAAATCTTGCAAATCTTTAGTTAATCATTCACATTGTGTTCCAGTTGAAATGGGTATATGGAGAAAATAACATTTGAATCCTGAAACTGTAGAGTTTATTTGCTTATATTCTCCTTTGTTTATTTGCTTATTTATTTGTATTCATCCTTTATTATTTTTACAAACAAATCAGGGCAGCGACATATCCAATTTCCCTAAAGACACAGAATTACTCTAAAAGCCCTAAAACAGTTTAATCTTGAAATCCCTTACATTCTGGAACAAAGCAGAATGCAATGAAATTAAATGGACAGTATACAGACAACGGACAGTAAATGGACAATGACAAAAAAGTAGCTTTAAGTCAGCCCTCACATTTTTGACCTTTGAAAGTCTAAAACTCAAAAGAAAACCAAAAAAAGATCATACTACTACCCTTTTCTTAATGACTGAATTGTGATCACTAAATGCAGACTATCTGTATGCCAAATTTAAGATATATGAGAATTCATCTGCCATAAGATGCATTGGCCAGAAAACTGCTTCATCACACTGCCATTTATAAAGTGCCTTGAATTATTGATTCTGTGAAGTCACTGATTCTGATTATACAAGTAACTGTGCAGAGAATAAATACACAAGATTGCCTGAATTTCTGCTTAACTGAATTATCTTAAGAACTGGCAGGATCATTGCTGATATGTTATAATACAATAAAATTGCAGGACAATTTTATATGACAGTTCACAATTAAAGTCCATTAATTCTTTCTTTTATTTTCTAGAAATTCCATTGATGGATGAAGACCCTTAATCTGCACAAATATTTCTTATATCTTGTTGGGGTGGGGGAATAAATCATTTACATATGTATACATATCTATATATCTGTATGAATCTCTATATAAAGACTGATTACAGATGGAGGCAAGGATATTTTCTGTTTTTATAAATCTTCCTCATTATGTCATCAGATTTTGTGTGCATATCTTAAATCAACTTTGGGTTGAGAGCATCAGCTATTCAACAGCAGCTTTACAAAATGAATCCTGAGGATTTGATGAGACTAAACATTACAGGAGAATTACACGTTTGTGGAACAGTGACAAGTGTATCTGCATCGCAGGAAGCTTTAACAGATGTTTTAAAACACCAATGAAGGTAGACAAAGGTCATAATAGAAGTATTTCAGATAATGTAAATTCTGTTTTATCAAAGCTGCTTCATATTTATGATGGACCATGATTTACAAATTTAATTTATTGAGGGGGAAATAAACAGTTGAAATTGAAATCAAAGAGGGTCACTTCTAAATTTCTTCATGAAATTCAAGGTGGAAACTTACTGCAAGGAAATAAAACCTTGGACTCAAGGAAAAGCTTAATCATTGAAACTCATTGGAAGGAACTTGAAGATTATATTGAAATTAAGTAACAGTACTTTAGGTGATACTGTAAACTAAAGAACACAATATGTCCCAGGCAAATGATGAGATATTGATACTTCCTAATTATTGCATATGGGGACCAGGGGAAAAGAGTCATTAAAATACTTTGTTGAACATGGGAACATATAAAAATACGAAATGTTTTGATTAAAAAAAAGCAAATGTTGGGAAATCTTTATCCTCAGATATGTAGTATGAGACCTGGGATCAGTAGCATCTAAACGTTATAGAATGGTTATTCTCATGAAAGAACAAGAAAACTAAGTTGAGTATGAACTGTTTGAGTGCTTTTGGACTGAATATCACAGAAGAAAATGCTGTTAGTTGGGTGACACTGATCAGGAAGTGATTGCATATACAGGTAACTTTTGTATATATAAATTTTCATTATATATTTTTCTACTGTATAGTCATTTGGATTGTGTAAAGAATAGCATTGCTATGGGGTAAAAATACGGCTGAATTTTTAAAAGAGTGAGCTATCAATACAGTAATTATAGCTGAAAGTAACTTCATTTCATTTCATTTAAAGATGTGGGTAAAATAAATAAAATGCTTAAGAAGAATACAAACTTGAAAAGATTGCTTTTTTATATAAGGTTGCCTATAGACACATCTTTCAGTCTTACAGTACTGCTGAACAGAGAATCAGGACAAAGAGAAGCTTATATTATGAGAAAGCAGCTAAAGGAGTCATGACAACTGAAATTTAAGCCAAATTTAGGATGTGATAGGACAACAATATTAAGCACACATTTGAGGTTAAAAGCAGCTTTAAGTATCCTAGGATCTTCAGAAAGTTGGTCAATTTTTGTGCCCTCTTCCCATCAAAAATATATTCCTTTCATTACCCACCTGCTTTGGGGAAAGATAATGTCTTCTTTGCCATGTCAAATAGTTGTTTCAGCCACTGAATATGGACTTCTTGATTCCAAATCTAGATATTTGGACTGAAACTCAAATATTATTTTCAGGATAAATTTACTGTTGGATTCAGTAAATGTCAAATTGATATAAAAGAGATGTTTGAAGCCACACCAATCATGTTGATTTTGTTTTTACTTCTCTTATTTCTTCTGCTAGAAACTACAAGATTTTTTTTTGTGGGGGGGGAGAGAGCTTTGCATCTCTTGCAGATAATTTTTCTTTCATTTTATAACAACATTAAAAATAATATACTATATGCATTTTATGACATTTGAATCTTACTGTTAGAGCTATTTTGATTTAACAGCAACCATGACAAGAAGGGTATGCAATAAACATTTTATAATGCTAACACTCAATTCTTCAAGCTATAGTATTGGAAAATGTTTTTCTAAAATTTGAAATCCTTCAAACAATAAACCAATAAACTATATAGAAGATTATTTCAGACAAAACAGAAATAAATTGTTAGTGCCTTTTAAATTTGTTTTCAAATAACCATTCCTGCTACCTAAATAATTCATATTTTAGTAATATCTTGCAAAAGTTAATAAAATTGCCAGTACAGCTTAGTCTAAGATTTCTGGGAATAAAACACTCAGTAAATCACTTTTTTTTCTGAAGGATCCACAGTGTAAATAACAGTCCAGGATATGTAGATGACAATGGCAGATATAAAATTTCAGAATAATGGCTCATGTAAATAAGCATTGAGATAGAGTGAAAACTCCGTCATTGGCTCAAAACTGTGGCTGCTTTCAGTGTCTTAAACTGGGCATGAACAACCCACAGCCCATCAGCCACATGTGGCCCTGGACAGCTAGTAATGTTGCCCCACAAGATCATATAAAAAATAAAGGAAATTTGTTATTTATATACATTAACTATATTGCATATTTTACATGTGGTCCAAGACAATTCCTCTTCACTTAATGTGATTCAGCCAAGCCAAAAAGTTGGATAATCATGTCTAAACACTATGGATGCTTATACCAGAAAGTTATGTCCTCAAACAGTAACACTGCTGTTTTTTCTCCAGTGGACCGGTCTATCAGGGCAACCTGATCTACCCAATGGGGATGGAGCATAGTGCTTCCATTTTCACCTTTCAGCTCCAAGGATACTAGTCTCCCTTTATTTCTTTGTCTGCAAAATATATATTTAACACAGTTACACTGCTGGTTTTCTTTCAATATTTGTTTTCTGACTGCTTGGTAAGAATCTAAATAAACCAAGACCTACATTTGTTGCAAAGAACAGATTGGGGGGGAAATGCATACATATTAATTTTTACATTTATTTTGATTTTGAACAATGTTGAAGACAAAAAGCTCTTGTTCCATTACAACTAAATTATTCATAATTATTCCTCTTCTTTTATGACATGCATGTTTTCAATTACCGGTAGTTATCTTGATAAGCCCAGAAATGTTCAGTACTAAGGCCCTGCCAAAGTCTGAAAATGCAAACTCTTTATTAAAGTTATCTTTCAAAGGGCCATAAAGATAATTGCATGCAATTTGCAAACTGAATCTAAGGGATGTAAGTGCTATCACTACATGTCAGTGAGACTTTTTGAGCCATGAATGTTTAGATAACTTTCTATTATACAGTAAATAATATATTAGTACATGCTTCTATATACATTGAACAATTATTATTTATTGAATACATTTTTATAATACATTCCACTTTTTAAAACACGCTGAGAGGAACATTTTCTGGATCTAATCCTACATTGGTGATCAGACCGTTTAAGAAAAATATAATGATACTATGAGAGCTATGGAGCAACATATCCTTGATTGAATATCGCTTTAAATACTTCTTTAAATTTAAAAAATGCTTTCCTTCTGAAATGGCAGATCAAATTATACTAAGATTCAAACTGGGCATACATTCTTCATTTTCTATTCATATTCTTACAAAACGTTTACATTTACAAAATTGTATTACAGTGCACAAAATCTGCTTCCTTTAAATATAATGGAACTATGGCTCCCTGAATTTCCAGCCAACAGTCCCAAATGCGGTTGGGAAAGATACAGTCTCTTGATGATTCTTCCTGCTACCTGATTCGAGTTCATGTTCCCTGTTTGATGTTCCAGGTTTGGATTTTGTTACTGATGCTGCACTTTGCACTAACTCTAATTTTTGTCATGTGTTCTCGGTTTAAATCAGTTTTACAAAATTAAGCATTTTAAGATATATAGACTTCAGGTTTCACACTCAGCCAGCGAAACACTGCATTAGCTAGTTTAAAGAAATCCTTTCAGTATTCTTTGCACGATTTGGCTTTCAGTGAATAATTTGCAGCTAAGTGTTGCTTATTCCATATTGTACTTCTGACTCAGAACTTTTTGTGAACTGTGCTGACTCCTGCTTAGATTGGAAAAACATTGTTTAACTTGCTCTCCTTGTTGCTCTTCAACAAATTGCTGCATCTAATATTAAGCCATTTGAAGACATAGTTACCTATTATCTGGTGCTTCTGAATGATTACTTGTGAATGCCTGTCATGTTGCCACCTTTGCCATTTGTAGCAAATACAGTAATGGGACTTTTTTAGGTATGTGGGATGCACAAGTAATTACATTATTAATTTATATTTTACCTTTTCCTCTAACAAGCTTAAGCAGTATAGATAAGGCACTGCTTCACTTTGATTTCTTTGGAATGTTTCCATTTTTGCCTATTAATTAACCTCTTCAATAAGATGGTATTGGACACATTTTGATAGGGTTTAATAGTTATATCATATATTGTATAATAGATCATTGCTTCCCACAGAAGAGAATGTATGTAGCTCAGGTTGAATTGTTAAGTCCTTGGTGATCTTTGAGCTTGGGTAGCCATGAGGTTTGCTCCTTGTTTCTATACAGCATATACAGTACTATATATATACAGGACAAGCTACTGTATAAACAGAGCAAACCCCACAATTACTAGCAATGATGATGTTAACTAATCAGGTAATGAAATATCTGCAGTCAAATAACAAAGCTCAGAGAGTACCATGGACTCCATATTAAATGTCTGACAACAATAGACACATGCATAAAATAAGATTTTCTTGTAGTATGTGCTGACATAAGTTATCATTCAACGATGACTCATTTCTACATTTTAATGGGGAAACAGCAAAATGTTTTGGAAATACATTTGGGGGAAGGGGGAGAAAGCTAACAAGGCTAGTTAACTAAGCTCTTTTTTAAATATTATAATAGATTTTGTGCTATAATAAAAATGGCTGATTTTACATCTAAAATCTACATCCATTAAGGTGATTATTTTTCCTTAGTGCTACAGTAACTATAGACTGATGTGCTGTACTTTTCTCAAGCTGGTGTGCTGAAGAGCTGAAACAGCACAGCATGTGCCCGCAGCAATTTCTTTGTTAATGTCAACTACAAAACACTCCACAAATCACCCAGACAGCTACCCTGGTGGCTATGGATTACAACTGGGCCTCAGATGAATCTGTACCTGCAATGTCTGAAGCTTCATTTGTTCATAAACAAGCCTGGCTTTTATCCAGCAGAGTAGGTAGGGCTATTTGGTGTTCTTAACTAGCTGTTCTTATTAAGCTGTTCTCTTCTGGTGCTCGACTATACAAATGGCTGTCCAATATATTAAAGAAGCTCCATCATTGAAAGTTTTAAAGAAATTGGACAGCCATTTGTCCAGAATGTATAGGGTCTCCTGCTTGTGCAGAGAGTGGGACTAGATTAGTATTGGTGAATCTTTTTGGCTGAACCAAGTGCTGAAACGGGAGCATGTGCAGGAGCGCCGAAAACTGGAAAAGCGTGCCAGGGAGCTGAGCTTCTGGTTTCTGGCGCATGCATGTGTGCCGTCCATCTGGTCTTCCAGTTTCTGGCGTGCATTCACATGTGATGGCCAGCACGCATGCACGTGCCGGAAACTAGAAGCTCAGCTTCCCGGTGAGCGCATGCATGCTGAGGAACTGCTCTTCTTGTTTCCGGCATTCCCGCACATGCAAAGACCAACTGGCTGGCATGCATGCACACGGCAGAACATGGAAGTGCAACAGACAATGGCTGGCATGCCCAGAGAGATGGCTCTGTATGCCACTTCCGGCACGCATGCCATAGGTTCGCCATCATGGGACTAGAAGATCTCCAATGTCTCTTCCAATTATCTTATTCTGTTCAGTGAAACTCTCAGTTGAGTACCAAAAAGAAAGAGCTTAATAAGAAAAGCTAATTAAGAACACCAAATAGCCCCACCTACTCGATTGCATAAAAGCTTGTTTATTGGATTGTGTGAATATAATGGCTTTTGAAAACTAAATACATTTCCCTTTTAAAAATAATGTACAAAATATAATACCAGAACTGAAGATACTCAGACTTTCAAAGCCTAATAATATAAATGCACTTGAATTTACAGCTTAGAAACTGTAACACTCAGCAAAGCTAAAGATATACCTGTCTTTATAATCTGATGGATGTAGAATATAAGTTTAGCAAGATCCTTATTCCAGACCAATGTACTGTAAAGCAGCCTGGAGATGTAAAGTGTTGATTTGTGACATTAAACATAGGTTAAATGTATTGATTAGAATTTTAAATCACTAAAACTTGTCTGCCTCTCTACTTTCTGTC